TTAAGCCAGTTTAAGCCATTTTGAAACTGGTTTATGTGCACTGAACCTCTGTTCTGTTATAGGTTTAAACCAGTTCCTGATCACTTAAACCGGTTTATGTGCAACTTCTCTCCCTCGCCTTAGAAACTAACGTGTCTTCATAAAAAGACACTATAAATAGTGCAAGCATTTCTGTGCTTTAGGCAGTTGAAATGACATCACAAGTTCAACTAATACTTTCGTTGAAATGACATCACAAGTTCAACTAATACTTTCGGTGGCACACAAAAAAAAGCTGCCATTCTTACTAGAAATTCTGAAAGGACTCTTGGAGGAGAAAACATGCTGCCCAATGACTTCCATGTATTAACCCTTTCCCACTTTACAAATCAATATCCAATGGAATAACATTTGCTCCCAGCTGCCCGTGTCCCACACTGTGCATCCCAGTACTAAGATTTTTAAAAAGCACTGCAAGCCACACTTTATAAACTACCCCGGGTGCCCAGACACAGACACCAGGAAGAAGTTCCCTTGTCTCTGGATCCCAGTGTTCAGGGACTTCTAGAGAGCATGCCTGCAGCTAGGCTGTTGAGCCTAGAGCAGCACTCAGTCCCTTCTTTGTCCCTACGTCTGGGGACCTCTAAACCACAGCTGCAGCCTTGCTGCAGACACACTTCCTTTTAAAAGTCCCAGTGCCTGGGAAGCTTTAAGAACTCTAGTAGTTTTTGTGCAATTGGGAATCAACTAATGTTAAGACAGATCCCAAAAACTATGCGTCTGTCATCCATGTGTGGCATGGCAGGATGTGTGTGCGATTTTTGGGAACTGGCATAACATCAGTTAGAATACAGTTGCACAAGTAAATTAACATTTGCCATGAGCACATGCAGAGCTACAGTAAGTTCTTTGATCATAATTCTAGTTAGTGTTACTGTTTAATACTCGTGACATTTTATTCTAAAGGATCCATAAAACATGTTCAAACCCAAGAGGTATGCAGGAACTAGAGGAGATCTTCATATTATTCATTCATCAACAATAAGAGGCTTGTGGGTTGTATCTATAAGTATCAAAATGACTTTACATAAAATACTGATTATATCTTTTCATGTCATACATTGTCCAGAATTTTTATACCTATATCAATATTTCAAAATAGTTCTGCTCCAAAAACTGATTATGTAAAAATGGATGTCACGTTCAACAGATCTTTCTCTGTGCATTCAAGCATGTCTGTTTACTGAATCAATGACATTTACATGACAGTAGATCAAAACCACAGTAATAATTAGCCATAATTTGCAGGAGCTCAATTATGAGAGCTGTTACTGAAACCAAGTTTAGAGAAAATATGGCTGTTAAGTTGCTTTCCCTGACTCCTTAGTTCTCAGTAAAATAACAGAATTATCAGCAAGCCACTCTGGGCTATAGTTGTAGCATTTAAAATTTTGTATTTGGCAAAAAGAACAAATGGTTAAACATCTACATAAGATTTCCCTGAACTATTTTTTCCCCTTAAGTCTGATCACAACACTCATTTGCCTCAAGTCAGTCAGTCAAGGTCACTGTTTCATTGTCTAGTACAACACAGAGTGTATCTACACGTGCATATTACTGCAAAGCAATATTTAATTGTAGAGGGTGTGTTTACATGTGTGCCCAGGACTGCAGCACATTGAGCAAGATCAGAGCAGCCCCACCTGGTAGGAGGCCCAGAGGGTCAGCCTGCCAGCCCTCAGATGCACCAACCTGGGTCAACTTGGCAGGGGCTGGCTGGGGCACGAGGGTGCTCTAGTGCAAGGCTAGCCAGCAGGCAGTGCCCCAGCAGCTGCAGCAGCATCTACACATGCGCTGCTGCACACCAAAAAGCTCTGCAACAATGTAGTACCGCACAGTTTATTAGCTTACTCCAGCCTAATAGACCTGCACGTGTAGATGGAGAGACTTTTACGGCAGAGTTAATTAGGCAACTGCGGTAAACTTTTTGTGTAGACGTGCCCAAAGGTAGCCAACTGATTACTGGGAACTGCCATTAAAATCAAAATGGAATGAGGGGAGGATTTAATATTAAACTGTGCTTATCTCCTTCTTCACCTATTTAAAAGACAACTCTGCTGTTATTTGGTTCTGCATGCACGAAGGCAGTCATTGCTGCCCATCCTGTGGTGCTTATTACAAGCTGGTCCATCATGAACTCCCACATTAAGAAATGTTGCATTTAATTCTATATTTATCTAACTGTGTAACTCTTGCTTTTATCTTTGGTGTATAGTAGATTTCATTTAAAAAAGAAAAAGAAAAAAAAAAGAAAATTATTCTATCCCAGGTAAATTAAGATTTAACTGCACCACACAGCAGAACTCTCTCACAGATTACTATTTTTCATAAAACTGAAGATAAATTTGTAAAGATCCTACCTTTCCACAGGAAGGTGTCCACTGTGGTCTTCTGCTTTGTCATGTCAACAATATAAATTCAATGAAACGTTCCAATAAATACAACTGATAAGATCGTTTGCGCAAATTCCATAATGACCCAAGAGGGCTCCAAGGATTCATAGAATCAACATTTGCCTCTGGCAGGCAGAATTCCCTTCACCTGGGGTGAAGGAAGGACATATCTTTGTAACATACATTCAAGAAGTATGAAATATTACATGACGTTAGTACCTGTGTAATTTAAAATAGTGCTGTGTGTTTGAATTCTTGCTTAAATATTCAGTTGACTTACCTGTACAGTGGTAAGTACAATATATACATAGCCAGTGCTGCTACATTTGCTGTGGTCAGCTCCAGCTTTGACGCGTGTGGGGGAAAAGGGTTACGTTGAAAGATGGAGAAGTTTAAAAAAAAAAATTGGTATCATTGTATTTTTCCATCTATGTACTGAACTACTTTATAAATATGTTTTAAATACTAAAATCTTTTTTTCCACTGCAGTAGCAAACACCGATTTCTGCATTTAAGCACACATGCCATTTTAAAGATTGTTGGTTTTAAGAATTAATGTAAATCCATCAAGGAAAAATTCTTCACCTCTACTACTTGTACAATTTTAGCTCCCCTTGGAATGAGGGATTAATTTGTGTTTGTCATATGATAGACAGCACAACAGAAATATCCTGTAATATGCAAAACAGTCCTTCACTATCAGAGAAAAGAAATATAGATATAAACGGATACAGGACTCAATGCATAGCTATTTCTAGCCAGCAGACACTAAAACTTGATAGTATCCATTTAACTACTCCAAATAGCTCTCACATTTTGTTTTTTTTAAATCAGAAAGGTGTTGTGTTTTTTAAATAACTATCTAAGAGTGAGAGGAGACTTCAAAGTATGAAGACAGAAGATAAGAGTAGATAAGAGAAGGTGGCAAAAAGGACACAAAAATGGCAGCAAGGACTAGTGTCAGAACATAAGATAAAGGGAAATTTGAAAGTTGAGGAAACCTGGACAACTGACATTGGCTTGGATTTTACACATGCAAAACAAGTATCACCTTACTTCTTAGCACTGTTAAGATGTTTGTGAAAACATTTGTCATGGTCAGAACCACAGAAAAGTCCACAAAGAAATTAGCATGTTTATATTTGGTGCTGTTTGGATGGTGTAGATTAAATGAGGCTGGAGATAACACAATTAATGATTGGGGGCAACGTGGAGAAACGGGGAAATAAAATAACAATGCTCTAGTCCAGGGATTGTCAACCAGGGGTACTTTGGGTAAGCACGGGAGGGCAGAGACAGAGCACCACCACCCCATGCCACCTCCTCCCAGGAGCAGGGCCAAGGTGCAAGGGCAGCAGCACCCCTCTGTGGGCTGTGAGGGAAGCTTGCACGCGGCAGCAGTGGCCACCACTCCACACTGCCGCAGCTTCATGTCTGGCCATGTGCCACCCTGCCTACGCTCCCACCCCCCCGCTCCATGTCCAGCCACCGGAGGCATACTTATTAAAAAAAGTTGAAAACTCTTGCTCTAGTCAGTGAACACCCTTTTCTCATCCTACTGGATAAAGTCAGGCATCCCATAAAACAAAAATAGTATGCAACTGTGTCAATTAACAAGGATCATAATGCATACAAAGGGCCCACGCCGAGACTGCACAGGCAACCGGTTTCTTAATTCTTCCCTTTACAACCTGGACATGCCTTTAACATGGTGTTCTCATGGATGCTGGTAGAGTTCAGTAAAAATTCTCCCCAAACTTGATTAGGTTCTCCCTCTCTAATAAAGTTTTAGTCTTCCAATAAAATATTTTCATTTGCTCTGGATTCCTGCTTCATTACTGGAGTGTGTCATCCAGATTACACGTGTGAGAAAAGGAAATACCACCTGTCTACAAAGTAAGTTACTAGAGGTCACAAGCTCTAATGCTGTAATACAGGATCTAATAGTGTGGTTTCTGAAACCTTAACAAGCATCTGTTTAGCCTTGTTGACAGTATTTTTAGCCTTACTACCAGTATTTTTCTGTTGGCTCTGTGTCAACTCATGATAGGGAATGGTTGATTTCCCTACTGTTAAAGTAAAGCTTCAATATCCTGATTGCAATTGTTCCTGAATGTATTCACTAATGTATCTTTTGATCAAATATCCATAATGAAGGCATCCATACACATGAAATAAACAAGTCTGAATTCAAGTATTTTATTTTAACTTGAATTGTTTTCATTGCATTTAAAAATCTAAAAAAAATAAATATTTTTTTTCACAGCTGCAAGTCGCATGTAACCACCACCACAAACATTTTGAAAACTTAACCAGGCAAGAAAAAGTCAAATCTGAAAGTCTTCAGATAAGCACAAGCATCTTGGGGCAATTATACTAAAATTCAAAGCAAAGTTTCAAAAGGGGTTTTATCTGGAAAAAGGTGAAAATTCAACTAGAAACCAGAAGCTACACTTTTCATTTTTAAAAATAAATGTTGCCTCTTAAAAGCCTGGTATCTCTCTTACTTCCAAGTTATACTTTTAATGCTTGATTGAAAGGGTTGCCAGTGCTAAATTAACCCCCTTACGGTTTTGCCCATTTAATTATATAATCAGTCATTAGAAATGGAAAGGCCTACTCATTCATCTTGTCCATTCACATTAAAAAGAAAGCCCATACGCACATTTGTATGGATACTGACTGCCCCATGGACATTGTTTGGGGAAAAAAATATCCTCATAATATACAATTCAGCAGTCAATCAGAACTCTCAATATTATGTTTTAAAAAAAAACCCAGAAAAATCTCTCTCCAGAAATCAACAGTGTAGTCACTTTTTTTTTTTGTTAAAAGCCACAAAATAAGTTAGAATTTAAATTTCAAGCAATAGAAACCATACTGCTATAACAGAACTCTTTTATCCAAAATTTTATTTACAAAATTAAAAATTAGAAAATGACTTCATCATGAACAAGGAAAGATGAAGTGCTTTTGCTCAGTGACTGAAAAAAATCCTGCAAATCTTTCATGCACTCACACACCAAAATTTAAATATAATGTGAAATGTTAATTCATGTTAGTGAAACTTGAGGCTCATTCACAATAGTCTCATTTTTATTGTAGGATGACAAAAGCCACATGGTTCTTTACAGGAATTTGGGTTAAGACCATTCATTTTTTAAATTATTCATTTTGGCTCCATGAATATTCATATCACGGAACATTTTGTAAATAACTATCTATTACCATCTCCGCCACCTTGTCCACTGACCGTACCATCACAAGAAAGACAAAAAAATTAGTTTAATGATCCCACATTACATAGACCTACAAGAGCCCATTTCTGAAGTTATACTAAACTAAAGCCTTCATAGTGATCTATAGCCTGAATCAACTTAGATTTTAAGATTTCTTTATCTGTATATTTTGGAAGATCCAGAAGATTAAAGCAAGTGTGGGCTACTGGAAGATACTCTTCTCCACCTCCAGTTGGCTGGATGACCAGTTTAAGACATTTCATTCCAAGAATAGGAATACGATCACTGCCTGTCAAAAACACTGCCAAGAAAAAAAAACATATATATATATATAATGAAAGCTGCAGTTTTGAAATTACTCCTCATTTGCAGATGGTTTTTAATACATGGATAAGTTACATTAAGGTAGCAGATAAATAAAAAACAGTATACATTAACTTTAATTCTGATTTGTACCTCTAACTTCTCAAAACAAAAAGCACAGTCTACATAAATCAAAACGTTTATCGAATGCACAGCATGTAAAATTGACTACCAGATGCTGAGGAAGACAGCAGAAAAGTTCTCTCATCTCCTGATTTCTTATTTAAAAAGCATGTTCTACATGTACATTTTCTGGACTTTCTACTACATTTGCACATGTCAAGGAAAAAAAGAAGAAAACAGGAATTCCCCAAAAAGTCCCAGAGCCCACCTACCTCAGACTTCACTATATACTTTTTCAAAAGGCAGATGCTACAGTGTTGTGAGAGACAAACATGAACTATTATAGATTACTAAATGGGGTACTCAACACACCAGAGACTGCCCTGCCATTAGCTCCTTCTGTTTTAAACCAAGGTGCTCCAAAATCAACCACTCCAGTAGCTCACAGCTGTGACAGCACTGCATGAAGTAAAGCAGCTCCAAACAGTTCTGTCCAAACATTCTTGCTTTTATCCAAAAATTAATATCGCTTTTCTACTTATTAGCAAATAAATTACTTGAGTACATTAACCAGTCTATCCACAACCCAGTAAAACCACTTACTGAATGCTATGGTGAAGACAGTAAAAAAAAAGTGCGTGCGTCTTTGCCATCTATGAAGCCACAGTCTACAAAATGCATACCAATGTACACAGCACTGTTATTCTAGCCTTCTGAGGAAAAGGACCACTTGAAGAATATGCACAAGTAACTACAGGATTACCTTACTATCTGCTCAAATAACCAACCATGGTACAGAATTGGTGGACAGTAGGCAAAGATTATCCCACAACAAACAATCATGCTTGATCCTCCCCACTCTAAACACCACCTCAGGAAGGAACTCCTCCTCAATATACCCTTCTATGATCCTGCAAGTTCTCACATTCAAAGCTACCAAAATATCAAGTGCTGACAGGATTTCCTACCCCATGATGGTTTTGCCCTCAAAAGGCAAGTGGACATTATTTTAATAGATCATGAATTTAATTTTGTCCTCTTCTAGAAAGAGATTGAAACTGCAATATTATTAGGTTTCTGGTTTCTAGACCATATTTAAATACTTACACAAAAACTGTTTTTTCTTTTCCAGGGATAGCTCATGAAAAACTTCCCAAAATAGTTTAACTGTAGGATGGTCTGCCCAATATTCTCCTTTATACTCCGTATTCTTAAAAAAAGAAAGAAAAAAAAGTTATTTCTGAACCTCCCTAGGTACTTGTATTATTAATTTCTTTATCTGGGAGCACTTTACATTTTTGTGAGCTTAACTCTAAATGTTTAACTCCAAAAGGTGTTTTTTTCTTATTTTGGCTAGAAATTAATATATATCACTGTTACAACCAAAAAGTTCCAGTTCCAGTAAATTCCAGTCTCAGCAGGCACATCTGTATTTGCCCCCCAAGGGCAAGTCTATACTTGCTTTAGGAAGTACTACATGACAGCACAATTACAGCCACTACTGTGCTGTACTGGCAGCACATGGTTATTTTTCATAGTTTCTAGGGTCGGAAGGGACCTGAGAAGATCATCTAGTCTGACCCCCTGCCATGGCAGGAAAGAGTACTGGGGTCAAACGACCCCAGCAAGGTGTTCATCTAACCTCTTCTTAAAAACCCCCAGGGTAGGAGCCTG